GAATGCCACAGAGCCGTCCATGGAGCACACCAGGATGCCCAGCCCGTTCAGAGTCCTGGAAAAGATGGCCATCAGCAGCCAGGTGCAAGCCCTGCGGTGCTCGCCCGCCACGGAGTGGCCTGGGGGAGGCAGAGCCTGGGGAGAGGCCCCCACGCGCTCATGGGGAGGTGGAGGTCAGGGCGACAGTCCCATTCTACAGAGCTCTGGGCCCTTTAGTTCTCAGCACATGTACAGAGTATCTCTCACCCTGTGCTTTGTAAGAGTTTCATGTTCATTTATCTCACTTTTGAAAGCGTTAAAAAACAAACAACTGCGAGGGAGTGCACATTTAAATGAGGTCGCTGAGAAGCATGAAACAAGCGGCTTCCACAGCCGCACTACTCCGATTCACGCAGCGACAGAGCCAAGTGCAACCAGGATCATGCACTCTCCTTACCAGACGAACACCAGTCTGTCTGAGCAGGGGTTTCCAGTAGGGCCAGGAGCACAGCACCCTGGGGTCTGTCCTGGCTGCGACACCTGGGATCCTGGCTGCCCAACCCTAATCAAACCCAGGAGGCCTTGAGCTCCAACATGTGGCTCCTCCTTTCCTAGACCATGCCTCGAATCGAGAATCCATCTTACCAGGAAATGTCCATGATGGATTTGTCAAACAGCTCATGGATGACAACCAAAGGCCGTTTTAGACACGTGAGCTGGAAGGAAAGGGCGGCAAAGGTTAATGAATGAATGAGGCCCTCTGTGTCCACTCTGCTCAGCTGCCACCACCAGACCCAGAAGGCTTGGTCTGAGCTGTGCTGACACGTAGGGCGTCTTCAGCTCTACTCAGACGGCCACCACAGAGACTCTGGAACCCACGCCTGCCAAAGACACGTGTGCCAGCATGGGGTCTGCCCCTTCGGGCCTGGCAGGGCAGACAGGTGTATACACACAAGACCAGCAATGGAGAAGGGGGTTCTAGAAGGCCTACCGAACAGGGATGAGATGCCAAAGCCTGGGCAGGGAATGCAGCAGCAAAGGCAGGTCCCAGGACAGGAAAACAGCCTCAGAGAGAACCTAGCACCCCTTCTCAAGGCTCACGTTCGGGTGCATACACATATCCAAGGCTCCATGTGACCAGCACCATGCACCACACAGGTTCATGCTGCACTGACCCAGGCCCCAGGGTAGCCACTATTAACACTCTTCCTCTCTTCCATCTTGGATAAATATTTTATTCTTTAAAGTAAGGCACACATTGCCTGCTTTTTCATTTAATGCAGAATAAGTCTGTCATCAACATCCTGTGAAAACCTGTGTCTGGGGACCGTACCCGCCACCTTCCCCACGTGCATGTGGGTCATCTGGTCCCCTCACGTGGCTGAGCACATGTCCACACTCCCACAGCAGCAGCAGGCATAGCTCTCACACACAGGGCCTGCCTGTCCTGCCCACTGGTCCTGGGCCCCTGGGTGGCAGGCTGGGGTGGGAACACACCTTGAGGGCAGGAAGCGCTAAGACAGCCCTAGTCCTGAGGATGGGACTGGAATCTGAGCACCTGGAACCCATGAGAACCTTGCCCCATCCTAGTTCCACTCCCCAAAGAGAACCAGCCTGGCCTTCCTTCCACAGACATGCCTACAGACCCCCCAGAAACCTGGGACCTCTGTCAACACCTGACCCGTCAGTGATGTTTTGGTCAAAGTACCAGGGATGGAGCCCAGGCCCAGGGCAGCCCGGGAAGAATGCCCCTGGACCGCCTAGGACGCACCAGGTCCAGGGTCTGGAATGGGGTCATAGGATTGCTCTGCGAGAAGCAACTGTCCTAAATGCAGCCAAAGGATAACCTCCAAATCTACAACTTCAAATCCACTCTGCTTATGGGGAAATCAATGATAAGGAATAAACTATTGTTAACGCAACACACACAAAGCTCAACCACTTTACGCCAAGTGAAAAGAACACAAGATGCAAAAAAGTAAACACTGCACGACTCCATTCATATAACGTCCAGAAACAGGCAACGCTCATCCATGTGACAGACATCCTTAGTGCTGCTGCCCTGGCTGAGTGGGGGCTGGGGGCAGGGTCCTGACAGGGAAGGGGCAGGGAGCGTTCCGGGGCAATAGTTACACGGAAGTAAACACATCTGACGACAGATGCACTGAGTTGTGTACTTCAGGTAGATCCACCATGGATGTTCTATATCTACACAAAGTTCTTTTAAAGGAAAGCCAACACAATATGCCAACTGCGGCCCTGACTACTGAAGGTGTGATCTGGGTCTGGACATAAGAGCTGCTCTGGCTGGGTGGCAGGGTGGCCTCTCCTGGCCAGGCCCAGGTTCAGGGCAGAAACACTCACTGAGCACCACCAGAAGTGGGGGGTCTCTCCTCTTTCAGGCACCCCCTCCCCGCAGAGCAGCGAGCTCACAGTAGGGCTCACCCAGACAGAGAGCGAGCGGTCCTTGCTGCCGACAGCACAGCAGCAGTATGGGCAACTGGGCTTTGCAGAGCTCCCGTTCTTCTGCTTCTTCTTGAAGATTTTTGGGTTGAATTTCTAAAACCAAGTAACAAGGGTTAATTAGTAATTAATCAAGCATCAAGCATGCACCCTACGCCGAATATGAGACATACCAGGATCCCAGCCCAGCAGTCGTCCCCCAGCCCTGGGCACCAGCACGCGTCATTGCGCCTTCACAGCTACCCAGCAGGCCTTGTGCCGAGGATGACACATGTCCTAATCAAAGTCTGGTTCTGGTGACATTCATCATGTTAAATAAAATATTAACTTCATATTCATCATGTCCATTTGCCAATAAAGCACATGGGTATGTATTCTATTTTGTATAACTAGTTTAAAATATTGGAACATTAAGTATTTAAAATGAAACAAGAACCTAACAACATGTGCTGAATCTCAGAGGCCACCATCTCAGTCCAACACATGACCTAGGACTGGGGAGCACGGCACTGCCCAGGTTCCGAGGGTCCCACTTAGGGCGGCGCTGATGGCCGGCCAACCTGAGGCCAAGTGGACTCACCACGACAGTCACGGCTTTCCGGTGCCCGACAAAGTCCATGTTGGTCTTCCAGCCCTCCCGTTCGATGATCTGGGCGGTGGGGCCGGAGTTGTTCATGGCGTGGGCAGACACCAGGTAGTGCCCGTCAGGGGACCAGCTGAGCCGCAACACGTGGGTCGTCCCTCCACACTGCAAGAAACGTCTGTGCTTGAAAGGAGCCCAAGGCCAACTCTGTAACCAAAATTGGCCCCAGGAATCAAACTGAGCTCTGATGTACAAATGCACGATGGTGGAGCATGCCCAAGCTGCTGGCTACATGGCCAGCTTGACTCCAGTCTCTCCGAGTGAGCTGACAGCGGGGCCGTCAGGAGACTGGTAGGGGCGCCATTCTACCCTCCCCCACTGCACGGCGGCACAGGCTGAGGGGACGGCTGGACGGTCACCTCTTTCCACTGTCAACCCTATCTGGGCCAAATCTATCTGACCATAGACCCCTTCTCCTACCCAGCACCGGGGAACCCCACAGGAGGTTTGCAGACCATGTGTTGCTGCGGAGAAAGAGCACTGCTGACCCTCGGAAGCCTGGTCACAAGCCTCTCCCTGCACTGCAGCCAGTGACCACCAGTCCCCACCGGCTCTCTGGATCCTGTCTCCTCGCCTAAAGCCTGGTGATGCCACCAGCCAAGGAGAAGAGGCTTGTAAAGTCCATAGAAACCATAAATGGCACAAGAGAAAGGCACTGTTCCCCTGACCCAGGCAGAGGCAGGGCACCCCTTCATACCATGCCTCCTGCAAAGTAAGATGACATTGGCTAAAAGCCAGCCCCTGAAGGTCAAGGTCAGTCCAGGGCAGTCCGAAAGGCTTAGGGGTTAAGATCCAGGCTGCGCAGCCCTTGGGGAAGGCAGGACAAGGCAAGGCCCGAGCGCAGCATGGGGACACACCTGCCTCCACTGCCAGCCAGGTCCAAGCCAAGGCAGGACAGCCCCTCCAGAGGCTGAAGAGTGCTGCTAGCTCCTGCCGGATTCCAAACATTCCTGTCCTGCCCACCC